TTTTTTTTTTTGTTTAATCTCTTTGTTTTTCCAATCACAAATATACATATATTTTGTAGATTACTTAATTGAATTATTGCCTAAATTATAGGGTAAAGAGAGCTTTTTCCCTTTCCCCTTTAAAATTATTCTTTTTTGGTATTAGTCACCTAAAATTTTTGTAAATTAGAAAAGGAGAAGGAAGAAAATTGTTAATCTTTATTACTGTAATCATTGGAATCCGAGTGAAAGGTGATAATTTTGAGAGGGGCATAAGAGGTCCAGCAGTTTACAGGCAAAAAAATTTTGAGTATGAGAGCAGCGAACTGCAAAAACTGCTTCAAATTTCTGATTGTCGTTGAAGTAGTGGAAAAAAGTAATTATCATTGGTATCCAGTTTGTTCAAAGTTTTGTGTTGGGTACTTCAGTGGTCTGTTAAAGTGAAACGAAACGGAGGAACGTTGATTGTCTGCTACTCATTGAAAATGGTGGACTGGAAATCCGTTTCTTTTGTCTCTTATCAATTGAATATTTTGATTTGTTTCAATTTGTATACTTTCAAAGATCCTTGAGACGCCTTAGTTTCTTCTCAGTTTTTAGTGATTGAAAGCTTTAACTTGAGAAATGGGTGTTTGACAAAGTTGCTCAAGAAAATGTAAATTCAATTGTATATGAGTTTTCCCTTTATTGGGGGAGAGAAGGGGGCTGTCTTTTTTTTAGTTCCTAATAACCGAACTTTCTTGGGAATTGTTGTTGATGGTTTTAATTAACATTTTCATTGGCTATGATCGATTAAAGTATTTGTTTTGAGAGTTTTTTTGTTTTTTCTTCATTTTTTTTTCTTTGTAATGTATACAGTTATTTTACGTTTCGTTGAACATTTATTGAAAAAACTGTTCTTTTTTTTTTCATTTTTGGGCTGCTGTTTATCGTTTTCAATTGTTTTTTTGTTTTTCTTTTTTTTTTTCTTCTTGTGTTATGTTCGGAATTAAACGTTAGGAAGGTGTGGAACGTATGTTTATTGTTTCGTTGTTATTACATTGAGTACGTTGGTTCATTGCTTACGGTGTTGTTTTGCGCAACACTGATACTTCACGGTTTAGTAGGTGTGAATAAATGCATCGCTAATAAAAAAGGAAAAGTTGATCTCTATACAGTTTTTCTAATAAACAATATCTATTTTTGTTTTTTTTTTCAGCCGTTGGTTGAACGAATTTGTTGATAAAATTGAAATTTGAACTGCCAGAAAGTGGCGTAATTAAAGGATGGAGAAAAGGGGGTGTAGGGAATGGAGAGGGTAGGGAAGATATGATTAATGGAAGGGGGAGAGATCAGTTTGGTGCAAATTAACAAATTAGCGTATGCAGTTATTATGATTTCTATTATTTTCATTATTTTTTTTCTTTCCTAAACGGTGCTTTCTTTGCAGGATGAAACAAAGGTTAATGTTGTGAAAGATGAATCTACCGAAGAAGGTATAGCCGACTCACCACTTGATCTCTCCGTAAAAGAAACTCCGACCCCATCACAGTCTGGAGCCTTATCACCAGCTGAAACGAGCAGATGCTCTAATCAAGACGATGAATCCGTTTGGCCTGGGACAGATATTCTTGGTATGTTGTTGAAATCTCTATTATTGGCTTTTTAGAAAGTGTAAAGCCAAATGATGAATTTTGAAGTAATTATTGATCACTGTATTATTGTACGAGTATAATTTTTGTTTTATTTTCAAGGATTTGTGCAAAAAAGTAGTGAGAGTATTCGAGCCGCAGTAACGGAAGCAGCAAAAGGTCGAGCTGTAACGCCAGGGGTTGAGACATCGGGAAATAACGAACATGAAGAAGGTTCGGATAGCGGTGTAATTGAGAATACATCTTGTAACGCTTCATCAACCGGGATATGGCCAACGAATATGTTCATTTCTCAGTATTCTATGCTTGGAACAAATGGCTTAGCTGGGCTTCAAAAGGCATTAGAGGTGGAAGAAAATGTTTTATATTTTTGTTTTTATTTCTTTTTTTTTGTTTCATTTTTCTCCTATTTTCTTATTTTGGCTTGTTAGGATTAAAGGTTTGATTGGAGTGTATGTATGCATGTATGCATATACATACATGTGCCTATATATTTATGACGATGTCAAGCACTAATTGTGGTTGTATTTTTTCTTTCAGCAGGGCGAAGAGATGGAAGACGCGTTTTCAGAAACATCAGGCGAAAAGCGTCAAAGACAAAATTGGAAATTACATAAAACGGATGAAGAGGGGCTATACGCCTGTGATCAATGTGATAAAATGTTTGGAAAACAAAGTTCGTTGGCGCGACATAAGTACGAGCATTCAGGTGAGTAATTGGGTCGGATTTTTTCTATTTTTGTTGCTGTTAGCAGAGGTGAAGGCTGATGATAGTAACGGCTAGTGGTCGGCAGTTTTTTTTTTTTTTTTTGACTACGATGTGGATAAGATGAGAGGACAAAGTGGTTGGCTTTGTTTGTGTGTGCGCGTTCTGGTGTATAACATGTGTGGTATAGTGACATGTGAAAGGTAGGCGCCGGCAACTGAGGTGTAAAACAGAAGTTTGAAACATGATGAACGTTAGTAGGTGTTTCATAGGGCTAGGACGCTTCTTATATCCTGTCTCAATTTGGTCCTTTGCTTTTCCTTCTTTTCTTTTCTTTTCCATTTTTTTTTTTGATTTTTACCTCAAAGTAGAAGTGAACACTTCACAATTGACGTTAATCCGTATCATCTGTGAAACACTATTTTACTTCGTCGGCATATTCTTTTTTATACGCAGTTATTAGCACCATTTGGAAGCACTTGTGATATCGATTTGCATGAGTTAATCAAACGAAAAGGTGCGTATAATTTAATTTTTTTCTTTTGTCTTTGTCATTTTTTGTCCTAAAGAATAAAAGGTCAAGAGCTTTTGCAAGTGAACAGGCTAATTTTTAACTTTTTTAGAAGAATTAAAGAAATCGGCCGAAGAATTTTGGAAAAATGATCAGCGGACTTTGTATTTTATTCCCCTTTTCTCTTCTGTTTTTGGGCGAAAAATTTTCTGTACTTTTTGTTTTGGATTCAGCAGAACTCAGAAGTTTGTTTTGCACTAAACCGGCGTCCAGACTGAAAAATTATGAGAGGGCGTTAGTTACATGTCTTGTCTTCTACATCTCTAATTTTGTTGATACACACTAATTGGGTTGAAGTTCTCCTTTGCCTTTAGTCCGATTGTGCAGTTTTCGATTTGCAACTATATCTTTGTTATTTTTTGGGGGAGACTATGTCTTTGTTATTTTTTGGGGGAGGAGGGTTTTTCAATCCACTTTA